CAGGCTTGAGAGAAGGCCTTTGCACGAGTCAATCGATGCATTGAAGGCACTTCAGGAGATACAGACGGGTCGCGGTGATGGGAAATCTGATTAAATGATACCAAATTACAGGCCCTTCGCATGGTCCTATCCCCCCCCCCTCCGTTGCTGGCTGTCTGGTGTAAAATCTCCTTAATCAAGCAGCACTTGGTTTGTAATTAAGGAAACGTTCATTGCGGTAATTCAACCTGGCTGTGTAATTTTTCAGATCTAATGCGTGTATGTCGATATATGTGTATTTATGCAGCAGACTGCAAGCATAAATGAGTGAACAAAGAAAATTCTTTTCTAACTAACTTCAGCAATAGCTTTTTTCCACTGTATCTCCAAACCAATCCTGCTCGGTGAGTTTGAGCACATCGTTCTAGTTGACTCCTGGATGTATGTTGGTAGTAGATGGAAGCGTGTAACCTTCAGTTCATAGATGACAGCAAGCTGGTGAACCATAGTAGGGATTTGCTAAGGATTTGCATCCATGCTACGCTCTGGAAGATCTCTAGTGTAAAGCCTCGGAAATAACAAACTTGCTTCGCCTGGATTGAGAATCATTGATGTTCTTGGGGATCTTAGAGGGCTTTTCGAGGTTCTTCGAGAACAGGAACAAACGCTTTAATCACCGAGTAGTGATGAGCTAATAATGGACTTCCGTATAGTTCTCTTCTCCAAACAAGCAAGTTTCAGTGGAGGTCTTGAAGTACTTGGTTGATTGGGATCAATGGATAGAGTGTGAATGCGCCTCCCGGTGAGGTCTGGAAAGTTGGCTTGATGTGTTAGGATGCTCACAGGATTAGGGAGAAGGAGCCAGCCGTATTGCACTCTGCAGCTAGTGGATGAAAAGACACTTAGAAAAGGGTGCACGCCTCTTAGAATTCCATAAATGGTCCAGCAGCTTGAGATACAGTCGAATTTGTAAGAACAACAGGTCCAATTTCGGACATGCTGAAATTCCACTAACTCATGAACTACGGATGGTATTAAGAACACGTCTATAACATTTTAACACTGGCGTCTTGTTGCCCAACTAAGCTGAAATTGGTGCAATTCTGAATCCGTTGAGTAAATTTTATTTGAAAATCCCTTAACATGTTACCGAAGCTGGCCGACACACCATAAAACACAACTATATAGGTATGTGATTACTCATACCGGCTGGAATTATACAAGTTGGCAAATACTCCATTAGGTTTTCTAATGAAACTCTTCAAGAGAAGGATTGATTTCAAAGAGTGATCGAACCTTTCCCCTTTCCATTTATACCTCAACAACTCCCTAATTTTACTGAGAGGTCTTTGGCTCAATGTAAAAGATGAAGTTATATTGAGTATTGCAAGAACACCTCTCGAAAAAAGTGAATAAGAATCGCAAAAGCGTTTTCTAGAGTGTGCTGGATAAGTGATAGGATCTTGGTTGGAGTTGTACTCGAAGAGAAACTTGTTTAATCCATTGCAAATGGGTTCTGCAGGCAAGCTGATTTTGTCTCCAGGTTGTGACAATACAACAGATTCATGATGGCCTTTAGACTTTGATTATCGAGTTCAGTGTGA